GAGAGAAAATGTTTTGAGAATGATGTACAAATGCGCTTTACACAATTGATGTGTGTATGGATTGCGATAACAGTTGTATGAGCCCCTAACAAAATGTTTAAAAAAAAAAGAAAATACATATTTTTATAAGATAACTTGTACTTTATCCCTAAAAATAAAGTCTATTTTTTATGAATAAGAAGATTCTGTGAAATATTGAGCATTTCTAACAAGATATTAAAGAAATTACAATAAATCTTAAAAATGTATCCATATCTTTTAACAATCCAAGCACCAACTGCTCATTTAGTTTAACAAAGCAAACCTTCAACGCAACACCCATAAACAGTGCTTAGTGATATATGAGCACACTCCCAGAGAAAAATAGGGAGGGAGGGAATTATTTCACATAAATTTGGGACTAAAATTCTTCTGTACACTTACGCTACTTTATTCTTTTCCTCCTTGATCATCTTAGGGTAATCATAAAATTGTTTATGCCTATACTCTTGAAATATGTGATTGCAGTTAACAGCAACATGCAAAGCCCAACGCTGCTCTCTCCTTGCACTGAGAAAAGACTATTTAATGAATCCCATGCACCAAATTAGACCAAATGTGGAGTTTGTTTTCTCTGTCTCTGCTATGATATATATTCTTGGGCCTTTTTAATGTGATTAAAAGTAATTTATGTGGTTCAGTGGTAAAAGTGGTTGAGGTTTGAAACAAAACTATCCTAGATTCTAAACTAGTTAGTGACTTAGAAAGATTAGTCAACGTTCTGAAACCCAGATTCCTTTTTGAGTAACTGGGCAGATTATGAATTTAGCTCAGTGAATTGTCTTGAGGAGTGTGAACAAGATAATGTATAAAAAGGACTGAACACAGCAATTCGCACACAGTAAGTGCTCAATAAATGCTAGGTGTGATTATTCCTTAACATCCTCAGAAACTTCATGAAGTCTAGACATCTTTGTTGACTTTAAATGGGTAATTACCATTCCTTGTTATATAGCTGTTCCTTAAGAAATTAACAAACTTCATTTTTATTAAGGGACGGACCTCGGAGGCTACAGATACAGGTAATAAAGCCCACAGGTGACAGCCGGGTCCAGAAGCTTTCCCAAAAGCTCCTACAAAGCCAGGGGCCTGGTTCTGTCTGAACTATCCTCTTTGAGTCTTTTCCTAAAGAAAGCACGCCTGCCTCTAAGCCACCAGAAGTCAGTTTGCAGGAAAGATTGCTGAAAATGGAAGCACCCTTAGAGCCTTGCAGACTCATGAGCCAGCAGATATTGTCTGAAGATGCTGATTACAAAATTATTTCAAATAAGTATCTCACAAAACTTTTCAGGAAGGGGAGAGTTGACGGTAGTAAACTGTCTCACAAGCACAGCACATCCCTGTGGCCCAGCCAAACCACAGCACGTGAACATCTGCCCACTGGCTGACAGGGTGGAACCAAAACAGACCTGCAATCCTAAAGACTGCTATGGCTGGAGCATCCCGTGAGAGTCATGTGGTGTCCTAATTCCTACAAAGCTTTTACGGCAGAAGCACTGTGTTCATATCAGCAATAAAATATTTTGGGAAACAAATTAGTACACTGGGATTACCTCTGCTATAGGTGAAGCCATTGGGACATTGGAAAACACCCAATCGAAGCAATAACCTTGCTGCCTCAGCTACAGCTGGACTGCTGTGGGGAGGCTTGTGCTGGAGTTTCGAATTTTCTACCGAGCATATTTAATCACCAGCTTCGGTGATGTGCTACTTGGAAATAGGTGGCAGAGGAAAACAAAGAACTTATTTTAAAAGGATTCAGAGGTTGCAACTCTGCCAGACATTCAACTCTCTGGCAGAGATGTTGACCTGAAATATTGCGATCTAAGAAGGCACAAAGTTGATAAAGATACTTTAAAGACCCCTTGCCCATGGATCGGTTTTCAAGTTTAAAATATCTTTAAATTTGGGGGCAGTATAGACCTGAAAAGGAGTCCCATTAAAAAGACAAGGGACTTCAGCAAGCTCATCCCTTAGAATCTAGTTAAAGT